TGCCCTGCCCTATGGTCACATCTGCGCTCAGGAAGCAGGAGGTGGCCTGGCTCCTGGGGGATCCCCAGGGGTGGAATCTCCATTTTACTTGGATGGCTATGCGATTTGGAGTGCCTGCGAGGGATCAGGGCTCCTCAGCACTCTGCCTTTCTGGTGTCATTCACCCTGGACAGACAGACAGCATGCCAGGTCCTACCAGGGAGCTCAGCTGAACTGTGAGTAGGGCGTCTCACGCTGCTGGCTTCCCTGCTGGAACATATCTCCACATCTGTCCACTACGCAACATCACATGTAGCAAAGAGCACAGAGGCTGGAGGCCCATTACACTCTGAATCTTGGTCCCTACCTCTCTAGCTGGGCAACTGGCTAAGTTACTTAACATTTCTGTGCCTCAGTTTCTTTGTCTGTAAAATGTGAATACAATGAGACATACCTCCTTAGCTTGTTAAAGATCAAATGTACCCAGCATATGGCAAGTCTTATATTGTGTTAGCATTTGTTAAATACTATGACTACAGTAGTCCCTCACTATTTCTGGGTTCAACTTTCATGGACTCACTGTTTTGTGGGTTTTTAAAAAATATTAATCTAAGTTATTTATCACAGATATTTCACTGTATTGCGGGATGTTGTGGTAGTGTACAGTATATGTATGTTGTTAAAATTACATAGCCTTATGAGTTTAGAAAATGGTTAAGAACATTAGAAGTACTTTTAAAAGTGTGAGGTTTATATAAGAGTGTGGGAAGGGTTAAAATATATATAAATACTAAATATTAAAATAAATATAACATCACCACTTCTCTGGCTTTCACTTATTGCAGGGATGTCCTAAGTGAGGGACCACTCTATCTCGTTTTTAGTACTTACTAAATAGCTTTTTAGTACATTTAGGTCACTAATTTTCTTGTTAACACTATTCCCTGTGATATTTTCTAATTGGCTATTTTTGGAATACTATAAGAAAGCTAGGGGTTTTACAGATAAACATTTCTCCTACTAAACACCTATTTAAATTTCCTGTTGTTCCCTAAGGGGGTACATGTTTACCTGAAGGGCATTTGACAGTAAACCATATGCAAATACAATCTCATGTCTCGTTAAATAAAAAATAAAGGGAAAATGGATTTGGG